AACCAGCTTTACTTAAAAATAAAATGAAACAGTGATGTTACTATGCTATTTTAAACTTGTTAATCTTCACAAATACTAAAGAAGTTTTTTTTGCGATATGTTTAAAGATAAGCAACTGATCAACTTTAGACAAAAAGCTATAAATGGTTTTGGTGTTCAAGTTGTTCAGTGAGAGAAATCCAGTCTGTCTTGGGCTTGAACAAGTGCTTGAACTGGAGCAACGACCAGCGGGCCGGACAGGAGTGGCTCACGGGTCATATGTGGCCCTCAGGCCGCATTTTGCCCAGGTCTGGAGTACTCAGAAGAGGTTTACCATTTCCTTCTTCTGGGGGCAATTCTAGGACTGTGCAGCTTGCCCAAGGCTACACAGGCTGGTTCTTTTCCCAGGAGACATGGTGAGGAATTGGAATTCCCAACCTCTCGCTCCACAGCCAGATACCGAAACTACTGAGTAATCCAGCCAGCTTTGGCCCAAAAGGCAGAAAAATTAAATAACTTAACAATTGGTTCCCATTTAACGGCACCCTGGAGCTGCTTCCAGAGAGGCCTGCCTCACTCTGCCTTGTGATGCGGGCCAAGCCCTGATGCAAAGTCGGTGCCTCACCGGTGCCTCCCTTGCGCGCCACCTGCCGAGCAGCCACATGTAAAGCCGTATCACCACAACAGTCCTGAATGTTGGGATCTGCTCCATACTTCAGTAACAGGAGGGCGGTTTTGAGGTCCTGTCGGGCGCAGGATCGGTGCAGAGGAGTTCGCTTCTTGTGTCCTGCTGCCTCGGCCAGGTCCAGGGTTTCTCCGTGACGCTGCAAGAGCTTGCGCAACTTGTGGCGGTGACCAGAATCGACATAGCGCCACAGGCGACGCTGGGACTTTGTTGCCATGGGAACAGGCATGCAGCTGAAAGGGCTGGATCCTGAGAAGGGAGGGGAGGAAGAGAAAATACAGGTTCAGAACCCTTTCCTCTCTTAAGGCTGGGAATCTTTTATTGGTTTTGAAACATCCATATATCACCTGATGTGGTGCAAAGCACTAGGCGGTTTGCAGTAAAGAAAACAACCGATCAGAGCAACATTAACACCCACAAAATAAAATAAACTGATACTGGAGCCAATAGATCACAGTACAGTGGTGCCTCGCTTAACGGGCGCTCCGTTTAGTGACGAAACCACATAGCGACGAACTATTTGCGATTGCAAAAGTGATTGCTTTGCAATGTTTCCTATGGGGTTTTTTGCTTTGCGATGATTGGTTCTCTGTTTCGCTTACCGACCATCGCAAAGCGATGATTTTTTTAACAGCTGATCGGCAGTTCCAAAATGGCCACCAGGTAAACAAAATGGCCGCCCGCTGTGTTTTCGCATGGATTCCTCGCTTAAGAGGCAGCGAAAATCAGCCTACTTGCATCACTACCCAATGAGGGACTGGATCCAAACTTGGGGTACAAATGGCCAATAGAACTGTAGCATTTTATGACTCTTTGTTTGCATTTTATCATTTTATATGTACACTGTATTTTCGGGGGGGGCACACAATCTGCATACCTATAGGGACCCAATAGATCAGCCTACTTGCATCACTACCCAATGAGGGACTGGATCCAAACTTGGGGTACAAATGGCCAATAGAACTGTAGCATTTTATGACTCTTTGTTTGCATTTTATCATTTTATATGTACACTGTATTTTCGGGGTCTTCTCTGCTTTTAAGAGAAGTCCCAGCTGACCTTTTATTTCCTGCTGTTCAAATAAAAGTGGGCCTTTGGTTGAGCTGTTGCGTCTATGCCTGATTCCTTGCCAGAGAATCTTAGAACCCAGGTTTGGCCGGTAACAAAAACCACAGTCATTAAAAACCCAGATGATGGCGAGGTCAGGAAAAGATGTCCTTAAAGTAAAAACTTGGCCTTTTTTATCCGGCGCAAAACCCTCCTCTTCATCACTGAGAAATATCATTCCACCAACCTTATCTTGTATGTATCTATTTATTACGGTCAACGACAGTGAAGATAAAAATACATTATTTAGATAAAATCACATATCAGATTGTTTCTCAAAGCCCAACTTCCCGCTCCTGTTTCCCTCTCTAGTTAACACCAGACTGCATACGCAGAAACACACACACACACACGTTTTCACAGCTCCAAATCCAACCCTCCCCACTCCCATCGTTTTTTTGTTTTTTTTACCTTTTTAATCCTCGGACTCCAAAGTTTACGCACAAAACGAGCTCACATCCGCCCCGATCGATGGGGACTTTCTACACAGGGTACACACGGGGGGAAACACCCACGGCGCAAAATTAAGGGCGGATGTGGCTTCAACCACAGCATTTCAAATTCGAACGTGTTGCTTTTCCCGTCAGGGATGCCCTTACTTGGTGCACAGAATTTTAGCGTCCGGGTAGGAAACCTCGAAAGGGGAGCGGGAAGCAACCAGGAAGTCCCAGGGGACTTGCACTAATAGTTTCTGATAGAAAAATCTGCAGTCCTTCCAAGGACCGCTGGGCTGAAGCGACTTTGAACTTTAAGTCTGAATAATTACATAGGTTAATAGAAGTTCTCCAGGAAAGTAATTAATCCTCACAGCAGCCGGTTGTATTGCTTCCAGTAAACCTACAAGCAGATCATACTCTCCCTCCTGTTGATCTCCTGTCAACGATATAGCGTAGGTTGCCTCTGAATGTGTAGATAGTCGTTCCATAAAACAAGATCATGATGATGATAATGATTTAAAAAAATACCAGGCACAATCAATCAAAATTATAAAAACATTGGTCTTGTTGTTGCTGCTGAACTGCAGATCTGGAAGGGACTCTTTAGATCTGTTGCCTTGTCTCCTCCCAACCACTATGATTAGGGGATTCCAAACATTGTAAGACCAAAATAATGTCTTGTAAAAATATACAGACTCAACACAAGCCTAAGCTCTAAAATGTCTTTATTGAGAACTTTTCAAAGTTATTGTGCAATTCCAATAAAAAGAAGAGAGCCTTCATTTAGGGCAGTCTTCTTAGAAAAAAAAGGGGGGGAGGGGAATCTGAATCATGAATCTAGGAAGGAAATCTAAAAGCATTTGGTTTGAATAACAGAAAACCAATGTGGGATTTTCTCACAATTACCAAACATTTAATTAAAGATCCCTGGGAGAATTTGGTTGGAGCAGAGAACTGTAAACTCTTCCAGCCAAAGGCATAGACAGAGATAAACTGAGTTCTCTTGGTAGAACTTTGGGTGATTTGTAGTAAGTTCCCAAGGCTTGTCAACTCCAAATCAATCAACAGAGGCACATAAAACCTCTCTTTCAAACTGCTGTAATGAAGAAAATAATAGATGTGAGGCATGTACGGTAATCGGAAGCATATTTTTTGTTTGGAAGGACTGTGAGCACAGTTTAGTTGTGGTACCCAAAACAAATTATTGGACTGAGAATTGGTTGTTGTGGGTTTTTTGGGCTCTTTGGCCGTGTTCTGAAGGTTGTTCTTCCTAGTGTTTTGCCAGTCTCTGTGGCCGGCATCTTCAGACGACAGGAGTAGCACTCTTGTCATCTGAAGATACCGGCCACAGAGACTGGTGAAACATTAGGAAGAACAACCTTCAGAATATGGCCAAAGAGCCCGAAAAACCCACAACAACCATTAGATCCTGGGCGTGAAAGCCTTCGCAAATACATTGGACTGAGAATTCTTTGTTCATCTTCCATACGAAGGTCTGATGGGCAGATTTAGGATTTTTACTGAAACACAAAGCAAATTCCACAAATCTAAAACTGAAGGATGTTCAGGTTAAAAACTGGGCCAAACATCGTAACACAAGTAGCACACGTGTTTTACTAACCTCACACAACTGTTCCTGAATTTCCTTGCTTTAAGTTTGGAACAGTTGGCTAAGAAACTGCACAAGTCATCTTATAGGATTTCACATCATAGACAAAATAAAGTTTTTTTTTAAATTGCCTACTCAATCCCACATTTTGAGCTTTATATTGCAAATCTATGAGGCTGTTTCAGACAGAAGAATCACATCCTTCTCATCCTCTGCTAAAGTATTTTGGTCCTCCTGCCTCATAGTTCAAATCCCAACATGCTAAAATTCTCAAGGTTTACGACTAGTGTTCTCCCAGTTCACTGCCTTTTCCCAGAAGAGTGCATGGAAAATGGGGGAGTACACTGGGTTAGCAATTTCATCATTTTAAAAAAATGCACACTTTACACTATCTGCAGAATTCAGCTATTCTTGGTGCAAAATTTACATTATTCTCTGTGGTAATCACACAGGGAGTCAAAATTCTCATTAAAACAAATTTTACAAACACTACATCATACCCTTTATTATGATACTTTTGCTTTAGTACAGCCAGCCAAATATGGTGAAAAAACAGTGATTTGTTGTTTTTTTCATTGTGACACATACCATAAAGATTAACATTTCTGAGAGTTTCTTAGGTACTTTAAGTTGTGAGCTGTTTTATAGACTATAAACCTTGTGATTTACAATTTAGCTCTTGGCCTTGTCTTGCTGCAGTGTGTGTGTGTGTGTGTGTGTGTGTGAATATAGCATCCATTAATCCCCACTAAGACTACTCATTACACAAGTGACTTTTATTCTCCTTAGCTATCTTTTGAGCCTGATGAAGGGCCTCTGTTATGCGGACCTCAGATTAAGATGTTCTGGAAGACAATAGAAACCATGTAACACCGTAAGACTAATTACTTTTTTATTTTTCATAAGTGTTTAAGTATCAAAGAACATGTCTTCAGATGAAGAGATTGGCTGTGTCTCTGGAGGGAGTATAAAACTGTTGGTAAATTGGCAGCCGTTCTAAGCTATAGCTACTGTTCTTCCTGCAGATAGTAGATCTTTAACAGAAGTGATTAATTCCATTATGGTACTGGAGGAGACGAGAGTCCCCTGGACTGCAAAGAGAACAAACCTTCCATTTTGAAGGAAATCACCCCTGAGTGCTCACTGGAAGGACAGATCCTGAAGCTGAGGCTCCAAGACTTTGGCCATCTCATGAGAAGAATAGACTCCCTGGGAAAGATTCTGATGTTGGGAAAGTATGAAGGCAAGAGGAGAAAGGGACAACAGAGGACGAGATGGTTGGACAGTGTCATAGAAGCTACCAACATGAATTTGACCCAACTCCAGGAGACAGTGGAAGACAGGAGGGCCTGGCATGCTCCGGTCCATGGGGTCACAAAGAGTCGGACACAACGACTAAACACCAAGAAGTTGTAATTACGGTCTGATTGGATGACAAAGCTTCAGACAATTAGTGTATATAATGAAACAGGAAATAATTTGAATCAGCCTGGACCTCCTCATGCATAGCTGCTCAGTAACCTCCCTTTGGAATCTGTCCTTGAAGATTCCTTTGTTCTGGGACTGCAACTCTTGAGATCAAAGAATGTTCAGGAACGTTACCAGCCTTAAATTAGATTAGGCATCCTTCGGTCTCAAGAGACTATGGTAGTTTCCCATCAACAGATGGGAAACCTTGACATCTGAGCGTTCAGCCTGGAGGCAGGCAGTGCATCATGCCCGCTCGTATTTTGAAGAGACCCTCGTCCAGCAGGCTGAGGCCCAGAAGCAGTCCCAAAACCAGCAAAACCAGGGAGCTGGATAGGGGACAGATTGTATTTGTCTCCAGTGCAGAAGGGATGATCACTCTCGAATTGGCCTTCTCAGCCACACTAGACACTATTCCAAGTCCTCTATTCAGAGCATGTTACTATAGTCTTACCTACCATGCTATCTGTATTTTAGTATATATATAGCTTGATTCTGTGTATAAATATTTGCCATGTTTCATCTCCTTCTCTTATATCTGATGAAGCGGACTTGTTTATGAAAGCTCACATTAAAAAAAAAAAAGTTACCATGGTTGTTAAGGCGCCAACTCCCCCCCCCCCACAAATGTTCACACATTTGGTTTCTGCATATTTGTATTCCTGATATTCTTTTTGTGCCATTTCTTATGCAGAGCTTGTCTTGTCTGACCAATATAAAATGCAGTGGGGCATTGTTGACAAAATGTTTTTAAACTGCCAACAATTTTATACTCTCCCCAAAGACATAGCCACTGTATTCATATGAGGAAGCATGCTTGAAAACACAAAAGCTTATGAAAAATAAAAGCCAGTCTTTAAGAGATCAAATGACTTGCTTTTTTTCTTTTGCTACAACAAAGCCTACCTGCTAGATTGCCCTTTTACAAGGACGCCACTTACCTTTCCCTTCTCCCGACTTCTCTTGGCCCACTTCTAGTTCTGGAATGATTGCAAGAGAGATGGCCGGGAAAAGTGAGGCTCAAGAGAATGTTTCTAGAGGAGGCAACCTAGGGGAGGACATACATTGCTGAGCAGCCACCACTTTGTCTTTGTGGTTCCTGCTACTGAAAATCAGTGCTGCTGCAGCGACGTCCTTCTGGAAGGAAAAAAAATGTGTGTTTGTGTGCGTGCGTAAGGAAGGAAGTGCAGGAAGGAGTGTTGGCTGAATTGCAGTACGAACCGGGTCATTTCCAGGAATCTAGACTGGGATGGGGAAATTCGACAGGCCAGGACCCATTTTTGGCCTGAGGGACTCTCCAGGAACCACAGAGATTTCCCAAAATTCACACACCCCTGACCAAAAAATCCAGTGGGGAGGGGAAGAGAGCCAGAAGTGGCCAGAATCTACCTCAAGTTTTGAAAATCTAGTATTTGTTAATGCTATGGCTTATTGGAAGCCTGGGCTGATTCTCCTGGTGGCCTCCTAGCCAGGAAACTATTTTTTTTTTTGTAACAAAGAAAACTTTTGCTGGTGGAACCCAGAGAAATTTGGCTTCAGTGAATGATTTCAGATTCTAGCACTGTGACAGAGGGAGGAAAAAATTTTTTCACCGTGCCAGGGGTCATTGTATATACAGTATTCCTGTCCTTCTTTCCCCTTATTTCTAAAGGAAACCACCCCGTAAGTTCAGAAGAAAAATCAGAACAAGGCCACATGGTTGTCAAAACAATAGAAATGCAGGATTGGTGATACCTTTATTGGACAAAAAACAGAGCGAGCTTTCAATGATAATTCACCTTCCTCAGGCTCTGCACCAAGTTCTTGTGGGCAACTCCAAAATAATATGTTTATTTTGAAGGCCCAAACGTTTCATGGCTACTGTTTGGGGCCAGGCACAGCTTCCTAGATGGAGATAGCTGCAGTTTGCAGTCTGCAAGAGCCAGTGGTTTGGAATTTATGACCCCTCTCTCTAAAGAAAAGGTGGCCAGCAATCTTATTCCCTCTGCCCCTTCCTCTTCCCCTTTCCCCATAAGTTGCAACCTTTCTTCTTAGGAGAACTGCTCCACTTCCTTGATTATTCTGGTAGCACCATTTCCAGCACGAAACAATTATTTTAAGGTGAAGTGACCAGAACTACGTTGGAGGATTCCAAAGGAGAGTGCATCTCAGGTTTGCACAAGGGCAGTATGACAGAAACTGTTTTATTTTAAATGATGTCTCCAATTATGATCCACACGGATTTAACCAGCAGGATAATCAAGCTCTACGGGCCTAGCTCAAAGATCAAGGTTCATGTAAGTTCGCAGGTTGCGTTCCCAGGCTGCCGCCTTGGCCTCCCTGCGCCGGGCTTCCCGCTTTCCCACGGTGGCCGCCCGTTCTGTTCTTGGCCGAGGACGGTGAGGCCCTTCCACAGCGCTCGGGTCTTTGGCATCAAAGTGGGTCACTTTAGGTTTGAGATTGCCGCCAAAGCCCAGGCCCTTCTGGTCACGCTTGAGGACGGTCTGGATAGGAAATTTGCGGCCGCTGCCCCCCGGCCCCAGGCCGGCCTCTTGGTTCCAACCCCCTTTCACCATGAGCTGGAAGCCCACGTTGTTCTCTGGGATGTGGTAACGGGTGGGAGGTAGCGGGTCACGGCGGTTGAAAAGGTGGGCTGTGGAGCGCTCGTGGATGGCCACCGTGTCCTCGCTGTAGTGTGCCTGGCATACAGCACAATATTTTCTCTCGGCTGTTGCTGGTAAACTGCAGAAAGAAGGAAAGCCAACAGAAAAAAATCCATATTTACACAGTCATTTTTAATGCCTCTCAAAGCACAGAGATTTTAACAGGAAGAAGAGTATCAATGCCTTGTTCTTTAATTACCTGTGTGAATTTTAAAAGAAAATCTTAGCATTCCCTTTTCAAATTCTTACACACACACAGAGAGGGAGTGGTGCCTCGCATAACAAGCGCACCGTTTAATGATGAATCCGCATAGTGATGCGGATTTTGCGATCGCTAATGTGACCGCATAACGATGTTTGAATAGGGCAAAAATCGCTTTGCGCCGATCGGTAAGCGTTTCGCTTACCGATCTTCGCATTGCGATGACGGGGGAACAGCTGATCGGCGGTTCCAAAATGGCCTCAGGAACACCCAAAATGGGCGTGCGCAGCATTTTCGCGCCCTGACCTCGCTTACTGAGGGCTCGAAAATGGCGGCCAGATGGGGAAACTTTACTCGACGGTGAGTTTGGGCCCCGTTGGAAAATGGGCTTTTCCGTTCCGTTTAGCGATGTTTCCCCATAGCAAAGGTTAATCCGGAACGGATTAACCTCGCTATGCGGCGCACCACTGTATATATATAAATTAGTTGTATTTCTATTCCCCCTTTTCCTTCAGTAAGCTGAATGTGGCATGCACAGCATAGCACTCCTCCTCTCCACTGTTCAGCCACCCTGTGAGGCTGAGCAGAAATGGCTCACAGTCACTCCGTGAGTTTCACAGCTCAATAGGGACTAGAACTCGGATCCCCTCCGTCCTAAATTAGCACCACTCATACAATTCCAGTCAGTGAGTGGAAATCGCTGCTGCAAGAGTGACTGGCAATCTTTTTAACTTGGAAAAACTCTTATCCCTTGATCAGTGGAGTACCTTTTTCATTTTTTTTAAAATTTTTCTCCCCCTGTTCTTTGTATTTTAGAATGATTTATGATTTTTGTTTTAATTTCTGTACACCAGCCAGAGTAGAAATTTGCTAGACGGGTGGTATAAAAATTGAATGAAATAATAAATGGATGAATGAATGAATGAATGAATAATATAAATACTCTAGAGTTGTGTAATTATACTCAAAATGCAACCCTACAGTGTTTCCTCTGTTATCTGAGAGACGAAAGGAAACTCACCTGCTGGATTCCTCCTTCGTGCGGGGTCTTGTGCTTTCCTGTAGGATGTTCACAATCTCTTGGTGCCCTGCTTCCTCAGCCAAATCCATCGCATCCCGTCCTTGTGTCTCACAAACGCCCACCCAGGCAGCACCGCAGCTCAGAAGATACCTCACAGCCTCCCCTTGTCCAGCATAAGCAGCACACATCATGGCTGTCCAATAATAATCATCTCTAGAGTTCACATCACACCCTTCCTTCTCCACAAGCGTCCAGAGAGACTTCAGGTTGCCATCTTGGGCAGCCTTCAGGAGCCGATGCCCTTGGTGGGTGTTCCTTTGTCCTGAGTTGTTTGGGGGACGAGGAGTCTCCTGCACTGGTTGGCGGTGCCCGCAGGGAACCTTTCGTTTCCTCTGTGAAGATCTTCCTGCATCGCTTGAAAGCACCAGGCTCTCGTAGAAGCTGCGAGCGGCCTCCCCAGCTGCATTCCCTTCCTCTGGGCCAGCGTTATCAGATCTTTTGCAGCTTTTCTTCTGGGCATGCCCATCTCTCCAGAGATCTGATTCCTCCCGGGCACGAGTGAAGGCAATCAGTTGTGGACCACCGTTCATGCTGAAGCACAATTGTGGTGACTACAAAACTTGTCCTTCCTCTCACAGCTTCATTGTCTGTTGAAAGGAGGAATCAAGAGTATTTCATACAATATAGTGATTCCCTTATTACTGTGGAGGTTATGTATATGGTGTGATTCTACAACACATGTCAGAAACTCTGGCCTGATAATAAGCAAGGAAGATTGTGCCAAATCCAGTACAGTAGGACTCTCCTATCTGCGGATCAGTATTCACTGATTCACTCATCCACTGGCTGAAAATACTAAATACAATCCCCAAATACCTATTTATATGTGATTCCAGGGTATATTTACCAGAACCGGCCATGAGAGGGAGCCAGAGACCATGGAATGTACAGTAGGATCCCCATCCATGTGATCAGTATCCACTGATTCACTTATCCACGGTCTGAAAATATTAAAAATGTTAAAAGAAAAAAAATCTAAGAAAACCTATGTTATACTTGGTAAAAAATACATAAAATGGTTCTGGTAATGCATGTGAAAAAAATTCCCCCATTTTTTCACTTTATCTTTCTTTCTTTCTTTCTTTCTTTCTTTCTTTCTTTCTTTCTTTCTTTCTTTCTTTCTTTCTTTCTTTCTTTCTTGTTTGCTATTATCCATGGTTTTTAGTATCCACAGGGGGCTCTGAACCAATTCCCCACGGATACCATGGTCCTACTGTATTCAATAGGGTAAGGAGAAGGGGTGAGTGAGGTGTGCTGACCCAACATCTACAACTTCACAATACAAAGGCCAAAACAAAATTATTTTAAACATCAAATGCACACATAGTTGTTCATTTTGTTCACCATCAGCTACGAGTGTGGAAGTAAAACAGGAGGAGGCTAGCGTGCATTTGCAGATGGGCCCTAATGGTATCCAATTTAAAAGCCTCAAAAATCGTGTCTAAAATCTATTTAGCTAAAGTGAAGGCTAGAAGAAGATCTTACTTCGCTTTCCAGATAAGCAAAGCCCGAGACCATCAAGCCAAACTATTTCGTATGGTTTCCGGATAAGCAAAGCCAGAGACCATCAAGCCAAACTATTTCGTATGGTACATGATTTATCTGGGGTTGGTCACAGTGACAGGCCCCCCAGTACTGTACTATCTTCTGTGACCAATATTTTCCAAGACTGCTTTGTCTAAAGATTTTACCCTGACAACAGGATCATAACATGACACGCTGTCCCCCAACAGCCAGGGGCAAAGCTGTTCTAAGCTCTGGAGGTTAAAACCAGCATCCTGAAATGGGCCCAAAAACATCTGGCAACCAGTGTAGGCCTTTTCATATCAGGGTCATATGGCCTTGATACAATGCACCAGGTAACAACCGAGCTACCTCATTCTGTACTAACTGAAGACACCCCCCCACCTGTATTCAAGGGATGCCCCATGTAGAATGTATTACAAGAGCCAAGGCCTAATGTAAATAAATCATGGACAATTGGTGCTCATCAGGTCAACTCTGGAAGGATGGTGATCTTTCACAAACCATCCAAAAGATACTTTGAACTGTCTTGATTTAATTTATTAAATGGCATTTTCTATTCAGGGAAGAGCATTAAAACTACTTTTCTTTCACGATGCAGATCAAGGCTGGAAGGCCTCATCTGAAGAGCCAAATGTTCCTGCCCCCCGATTTCCAGCTCTTTCGACACGCTATCTTCCAAGATCTCAGGATTATCCCTTCTAAACCTACGACCAGAAGTTGGGAAAGCAAGGCCACGCTGGCTGGGGATATTGGGACTTGTAGTTCCAAACAGTTTTCCCATGCTTTCCGCCTGTAAAATGGACAGTGTCTACCCAGGAGCTACGCCGTTTGTCCTGTGGACCGAGGCAGATCCATAGGCAGAAGGAATCAGGCTAAGAGCTCTCCCTGTTCTTAGGCAGAGGGCTCCATCATTTTCTCCTACGTAGCACAACTTTTACTCACCTGAGTCCTCTTCGATCTTCCACCTTTCCCGGAAGTCTGCCTTACCATAGAGAATAAGAGAGAAAGCATTCTAGAGCAACAGGAAACTGGCGCGGAAACATTCCGTGTACGCATGCGCAGGAGAGTGCGGCCCTGACTATAGTAGAAAATGTTACGTAAACTCTCGCGTCGTTTTCTGCTTTCTATTTAAGACACGCTTGTTTTGTTTCTGTGAAAGAACAGAAGCACGCCACTTTTAGGGCCCTGAAAAATTAATGGCCAATAGGAGCTATCAATTTGGGTCCGAAATAATATAGCCTGTCTGTCACTTTTGGAAACTCTATGGTGCCCCTGGTCCACTCTTAGCGTCCCGTCAGATGGGAGGACTTTGAAACGCAATGCGCATGCGCCTTCGGCGGTATCTCGGTAACGAAACAGACGCCGTGCATGCGCAGTCGATAGGAAGCACGAGGAGGTGGGCTTCAAGGTCTCGAGAAGTAAAAGCCGGGGGGGGGGGAGGGGAGAGGAAAGCAGAAAGGTATTCTTTCTTATTGGCTCGCGCTCTTTCCCGCCTTTTCCAGCGCGAGGCTTTCTTAACGGGTTCTCTTAACGTGACCGTTAGACCAATTCAGATAACACTACCTGCTTCTCTGATCGTTCTTGTTCCTCCCTCCCCGGTTTAATGGGGAATACGTTAATTAAAACAAAGGCTGGGTCTTAGAAAATCAACACCACGCCCCGCTAAATTTGTAAGGGTATACCTTTTCAAACGTAGTTTCATTTTGTTTTCGAATAAACAAATAGAGCCCTCAATTGGACTCAGAACTGCCAGTCTTAGCAATATAGCTTTATTTATGGCCCTCCTCTGCACTTCTACTGCAGTCAACGTGAGCTCAGAGCAGAGATATGAGTATATCCTAACGGTAAAATAATCTGACGCATGCCAGAAGAGCCGAGTTCAATCAGTACAGTATTTAGATGGACCCATATGAAGTAAAAACAAAAAGCAATTAATTGAAACAAAAGGGGAAAGTTTAAAATGGACCACAAATCCCAAGTTATATAAATATTAGTTGTGTTATTTTTATGTTCGGTATTATTTGCTATGCGTGTTAATGACTGCTTGGTAATTGTATATTTTTTCTCCATTGAACAGGCATGCATGGCTAATTAACAGAGAAAAGCTAATATGACAGCTATGTTGAGAACTACCACTGCAGACAGAATGAGTCGGCGAAGCAGTACCAGCATTAGGGATGGTAACTTACAGTGTGTTGGGTTTAGCATTTTATATTAGGAAGATCTGGTTGCTTATATTTATTGAATGAGAATGAGGTTAAGCCTATTATTTATTCAATGGGACTTGTGGTTTTACTAAGGGCAACCCTACCATTCTTTCACAATATAATTCTAGCACTGTCCTCATGAATTTGACAAAAGAAGCCTTAAGTGGAGCCAGCCACAAGTCCTAGTAATGTCACTGTTCTAAGTATTTTTTTAAGTATGGCAACAGTTCACATTTCATTTCTCCTTTAATTATTCATTAATCTTGACAACGTTGTACTATACAGTCATGGCCAAAAATATTGGCACCCTTGCAATTCTGTCAGAAAATGCAACCCTTCTCTCAGAAAACTGTTGCAGTTGCAAATGTTTTGGTATTCACATGTTCATTTCTTTGGTTTGGGTTGGAATAACACAAAAAACCAGAGAAGAAAAGTCAGATCTGATACAATCCCACACAGAAACCCAAAAATGCACCAAAAAAAGAGAGAGAAATGAATATGTGAGTACCAAAACATTTGCAACTGCAACAATTTTCTGAGAGAAGGGTTGCATTTTCTGACAGAATTGCAAGGGTGTAAATATTTTTGGCCATGACTGTAAGTAATGTCCTTTCTCTTCTCAATACACCTCTTTATTAATGGTGGGAAGAGGAACAAATTGTGTCTGGCCTACTGCTAAGACAATGTCTCATCCCACTCCTACACCCCCAATGTTAACAGAACTATTATCCACCCTATGAGCTCCTGTAGTTAAATCTGTTTCTTTTATCTAGTTTCTCAATGAAAAAAGCTAGTTTTGTACTGTACCTCCTATCTTTACAAATCTACTTCTATTTATTAGTTTGGTTCCTGCTGGAACCCAGCCATTAGATGTGTGCTTTATCAGTCAGTTCTTTGCTCCCGAATTGTAGTGACTGAGGATTCTCTCCTCTAGACCTGCTGCAAGGTCTGGTAGAGCAGCCAACTCAAGTATATGCTTCTCTCCACTTCTGATGCTGCTTACATCTTGTACCCAAATGGTACATCTTTTGGGTTTCTAAAATTTACAGTCATTATATCTATTGCCACATGATTGCCAATGTACAAGCTGCCCTCTGGCTCCCCCATCTTATTCTGCTTCAAATAACCGACTAAAAAGACCTCCTCTGCAGCTTTATTGTAAATAATACACACCAGTACCTCATTTGCAAATTGCTGAACTCATTGATAACCTGTGTCCCACCTCTTCAAGTGCTTGATGAGTGGTTTTAAACCACAAATCACACTTTCCCCCCACTTGAGGTTTTTAGCCCTTCATCATCTGGCTTAAGTTTGGTGAACAGGGCTGTTACCAAGTTATGTGATGTTGCCACTTTTCTAACTGCATAACTCTTACCTTACCCAGGACCAGCTTCAAGATAATACACCTAAGCAGTGTGGGGACACTCCCCCCACCAGATGGAGATGTTTTTATTACACACTGTTTCACTGCCTTAAGTCCAGCTGGGTTGGTACTGTTGTCAGTCAACTTGGTGTGATAATTCCGAACTTGCAAAATCCTTGTGATGACACTTGACTACTTGGACCCCCAATTTACCAAACAACTCAAAACAAACTGGACAGGTTGGAATTTCTTCCTCATTTGGGTAGTCACAATGCAACCACACCCAACTTTCTTGCTTTCCCCACTTTATCTTAGTATGCTGCAATATGCTTAATTCTGGAAAGATCACAATTATGTCCATCAAATGTTCAGTCAACAGCCCAATAGCAAAGCAATAGGATAAAACAATGCCTAACCAACAATCTTAGCTGCATGTACTAGCTTCTCAGTCAGAGACCGTGGGTCAATCTCAGTAAACATGTTTTCATCGATTTCACAACACACATTTGCTAGTAAGGCAAAAATCTCTCACTCTTGACACAGGCAAATCCCAGGATCCCAGCAATTCCTTAGTGACCAACGAGATTCGCCCAATATGCCGGTGCACATATGAAATACTATTCTCCAGCTTAACTGATTTTTGGTGTCACCACATAACTAAATGTCTCCCAAAACTTAGACCCCTTCACAGAGAAATAAACTACTGTAATGGCTTGTTGGTGCAGCCAGTCCATTTGTTAATGGACACCATGATGTCCAGCATCCCAACGTATCTCTCTGCAGCTTTCAACAAAATTTGATGCACCACATGATTGCACACTTCATTACACACAATTTAAATAAAGGACCAATCCTGGATGTGATTTCTAATGAAAAGTCATCACCATTAATAACATGATGTGCCAATAATGTGTCCCATGTGGCAATTTTATGTCGATAACCATTGCTGTATCAAATCTAAATATCGGCACAGCTTCACTTCCAATTCTTGTGAATGTATAAACATTGTTTTTGGCATCTCCAGATCCAACAGTTCCATCGGCAGAACCATGTAACTATCCGCAGTCTGAGCCCCTGTACGCTTAAATGCATCCAACAATTCATGTGCTCCAAAGCTGTAGATAGAATCCTCAAGCAAAAGTGTGTTTGCATCATACCACCTTTGTGCCCCCTTGCTTGACCGTCAAGACCCAGAGCACACAAAGGCAAACACTCTTCTTTTACACTTGCTGCCACCAGGTGATCTCTAAATCACCATTTACTTCAGAAAGATTCAGGTCCACACTTCAAGTTTTGTTAAATAAAACTTTGGTTTATTGATTACATAGTTTGATTCATGAATATCTTCAGTAGTTAATCATTCCTCAGAATTTCCCCAAACTACACATTCTATTACACTGTCTGGCTTTTCTCTCCAGCCGAACTCTTACATTTCTCTTTTACTGACTCAATCTCCCTTAATTTGCTCTCTGACTCCGCCTCACAGCAATATGAATATTCATAAACCATTACATAATACAACGAGAACCATAGATCTAATAAATGGGGAACGCTACACTCCATATACTGTAATCATGCATCAAGGCTTCCCTTTCATAACAGCTGTTCACACACTTGTTACATCCCAGTGAGGAATGAGATCAAGAAATATCCTACAATCCTTCTTTGATACTCTACGATGCAATGCATCACTAATGTCTGTGGGTGCTGGACGCACTACTAATTTCTCTGGCACCCTTTTGACCATGTGTAAGATTCACATGGACATGCAGATGATGTGAAAATTTGGGATGCCTCATTCTGATTTAATGTTGGGCGTTTGCAGCAAACGCCGCATCAATCGCCCTTGTTACCGGTTGAGATCCACCTCCAGGTCCTGAGCCGCCGCGCTTCGGAATTAGCTGGGTAGGCACTAAATGGTCATTCTCTCGAAGCCGTGGGGCTCCTGCGTCTTTTTCAACTGCAACCTGGGTACTTCGCCTATATCGCCCACAAAGCCATTCGTAGAGTGAGGGAGCGCGAGAGGCACCACCTCTTTGCGATAGTCGTGCAGAGGCTGCTCACTCGCGGCCCGGGGACGGTAGTTTGCCAGAGCGCCTCATCTGCTCAAAGAGGTCGGCGCCGAAAGGCCGCTCGGACTACTAGTCCCAGCGTGCTTTGCGGCAGAAGCCGGCTCCTTCACGTTCCTCGTCGCTGCGCCCTAGGACTTGTCTCCTCCCCGACCGTGTCTCCTTCTTTGCGGCCCGTCTCTTTCCTTGCGCCTAGGCACTACAATCCCGTGATGCCTTTCCGGCGGCGGCGCCTGCGCAGTGGAAGCTGGCGGAGGCCTTGGAGGTCCGAAGCTTGTTTTGCCTCCCCCGTCTTCCTCTCCTTGAGGCGCTTGTGCCCCCTGGGGTGAGTGGAAGGGGGGGGGGAGGGCCGGCGCACAGAGGGGTCCCAAGGGACCGAGCCGGTTGAGCAGTGTTTCCGAACGGAGGGACTGTATTTTGGGTAAAAATTGAAATAAAAAAAAATCAGGAAGGGGAGAAGAGTGCCAGCCGTGTGTTTCTTGCAAAAGGGCAGGGTAGGAATACAGGTTTGGCAGCTCTGCGGAGGGCTGAGGGCTTCCTACCGGGAAGGAAAAAAGAGGGATTCAGTTCAAGCGGAAGGAAGCAAAATGTGGGACCCTCCATTACAATGCACAGAAACCACGAGAAGGTGGGAGGTTTTTTGCTAATATGGAGCGGGTCTGGGGGAGGAGGCAGTAGAAAATCGCAGTATCCGTAGAACTGCTTTGCGAGGGAAGTATTCCTCAAAGCAGACAATTTCTGAAGAAGCTGAAAGAGCAGCTAGGCATGGGATGATGGAAGTGCAGGCAATTTATGCTTCTCTCTGTTTTCAGAGGACGGGAAGATGAGTAGCTCTGAGGAAGTATCCTGGATTTCTTGGTTCTGTGGCTTGCGTGGCAATGAGTTCTTCTGTGAGGTGAGTTGGGAGAAAAACTTGCTTTGGAGGAATTATGTGGGACCCAGGGGCTAAAAGCCAAGAAACCTGTTTTTTTTTCTATAATAGGCATGGTGGATGAAGGTGGTCCAGAAGAAAGGTTGCTAGATTTCTTCAGAGGAGTTGCCTTTTGATGGTCACTTAGGAGCTGTGGAATGTTTTAGGAAGTTAACTACTTGATAAGATTTTTTTTGGCTGGAGGGAGTTGGATAAGTCAGAATGGCTCACTTGGTTGATCTTGGGTTTGTTCTCTCTCTCTACCCCCTTCTCTTTGTGTTCGAGGTGGACGAAGACTACATCCAAGACAAGTTCAACTTAACTGGTCTTAATGAACAAGTCCCACACTATCGTCAGGCCTTGGATATGATTCTTGATTTGGAACCAGGTGAGTGATGGCATTTTTAAATGTATGGAATGTGAGCCCATTTTGGTCGTCTTGACATAAATGTGGTATGGAACTAACCACAGCTCTTGTCAGCTACTTACTGTTTTGGATACTGAAGGCCTATGAAAAAGTGTCTGGCTATGTCTGCCCTCCACCCCCTGCCAACATATGTAATGAATATGCTTTTAGCTGGTGTGTGATTGATACCAATCTGTAGTAATCTTGTCTGTTTATAAATATATGCTTGGGCAGGGTGTATGGCCAGTTGTTTTTTCAACATTTTGGGGGCTAGGGTAACTGAACACATCCTCAGAAACTCTTTAATGTGTTTGGTGCCTGTGTGTAGTGAACAGCGGAATAGGACTTCTGTGTTATAGAACACAGGATTTACTAACTCAGGAGCAGAAACATGATCAGGAGCCACTGCATAACCCTCATAGAGAGCTTTTACAGCCCTAACATACTTCTGATATATCTTTGGATTGCTGGTCTTAGGGTGTCGTCTCATCATGAAAAAAGAACGTACATAGCTTGGGTAGTGCCTTATTAGCCAGCAGGTGTTCCTGTTTAACTGTCTGCATGAAGGCAAGTTCTCTGGAGGCTGCCAGGGGAATGATTTGAAATAATGTCTTCTAAAAATGAGCATTAGTTAACAGCTACTTTAAAAACATTTTTTTCACAATATGAACTGTATATTAGTGCACAGAACTCAAACATATAAAGTGCTATCCTTGATTTTTCTTGTGACCTTAATGTATGTGAAATTAGATGTAAAGCAACAGGGACTTTTAAATAAAGTAGTATTAAGAATTTGTAAAGAGACGGGATGATGCAGGTCATGGTCCAAATGGAAGGGAATAGTGCATTGGTTCTGAACTTTGGGTGCCCAGATGTCCTTGGTCTAAACCTCTCAGAAGCCTCCACCACTAGCTGTGCTGGCCAGGATTTCTGGGAGCTATAGACCAAGAACATCTGGGGACCAAAGGTTGGGAACCACTGGTATAGTGCTTTTAGAACATCTTGCTTTGCCCTGTGCACAGATTCTGTATTTTTAATGACTAAATAGAGACACTTCAGAACTGACGTGTGTAATATTGTTTATTTTAGTCAGCTTTTATTCTGCTTTTCCACCTGAAAATGCCTGTTTTCTATACCTGAAAAATAGTATATGTGCCTGTGTAGAATACTGGAGAAACAAAGGTTTTTGATAGTTAGTCACTAACTTGTAAGCTCTAAACAACAAATAATGTTCCTCATTTATTCACTAAGCTGCAGAGTTTAAACTTCATATGTGGGGGAAGAAAGGGAAAAGGAAGGGATGCTGAGAATAGTGTATATGTGCATTGTTCTATAATGTGTTCTTAAACACAGTCTGTATCAATCGTATATATTTAATTTTCCTAGAAGCCTCTCTGAAGAGTGGAAAAGCAGTGCAAATACATTTGGGTGTCTTCTTGCAATGGCATGCAGCCAACTAATTCTTCACTTCCAGAAGTACTGAGCTGTAAACTTGCTTATCTGTGCAATGTTCTTATATGAATAAAGAAAAAAAGATTTAATGCCCCACATTTCCTCCAATACAGAGACACAAGGTGGCTTCAGCAGTGAATTATAGTAAATTACATGGGGCCCTTCATTCTTCTCTGTCAGTATCCCTGTGGCATTGTTACAACTCCCAGCAATGGTAGTCTGCTGCTCAGTAAAATTGGTTAGTCTGCTAAAATATTCCTATGTAGGAGAACCAGTTCAGAAATTGATTTGATCATGATGGCCATGGGCCTTTGTTGTAAGATGCTTCATTTTCCTTCTGAATGCTTTTGACTTCTTCCTTTCCTTGTGCAGATGAGGAACTCGAGGACAATCCTAACCAGAGTGATTTGATTGAACAGGCTGCTGAAATGCTGTATGGGCTCATCCATGCTCGCTACATCCTCACAAACCGTGGCATTGCCCAAATGGTGAGTGTCTGCACTGTTGAATTAGCAGTCACCCTGTAAATTATTCCTTGCTACCCTGAGGCAGTTGCTCACAGATGAAGGGCAAAGAAACTGAGGAGAGGACAACACTTAACCCATGCCATGACACCTGCTTGATATTTAGATGTTTTACATCACATCTGACTGTACAGGCTTCTTCAAGCAACTTCCTAGGCCAAGTTGGAGTTAGTTTGTTTCTGCTTTCTGGAAAGGTATCAATTGTACGTTAACATGTTTGCCTTTTTTTCTAGCTTGAAAAATACCAGCAAGGAGACTTTGGCTACTGTCCTCGAGTTTATTGTGAGAACCAGCCCATGCTGCCTATTGGTGAGTATAGGTCTATTGGAAAGGCAAAGGTTTGGAGCTAGGTAGGTTCTAATGATAAAGAATATTTGAGAATAATTGAGTTAAAAAACAAATCAAAAACAAATGCTAAAGTTCATTAGAGGACATAGTAGGGGAGGTTTGAATACAATTTGGTTTAAGAATTAATTCTGTTGAGTCACCACTCAAGATAGCTTGCTGCTTGATATATCTTGGGATTGAAGTAGAAAGAAACATTGCTGGGTCTCTTCCCAGAAGCCCCCAAGTCCTGGCTTCTTTGAATCACCTTACTTCTGAGTTTTAATCTCCTCTTTCATTTTTAGGTTTATCTGATATCCCTGGAGAAGCCATGGTTAAATTGTACTGTCCCAAGTGCATGGATGTGTACACCCCCAAATCTTCCCGCCACCATCACACAGATGGGGCCTATTTTGGGACTGGATTCCCTCACATGTTATTCATGGTGCACCCTGAGTATCGGCCGAAGCGGCCAGCCAACCAGTTTGTGCCCAGGTAAGATTCTCTCAAAATGTGTCAAAGGGAGAAGATTCAGAACAATGTGAAACACAGGTGTAGGATGTTGCTTCTCTTCTGTGAGAGTCATCTACCCAGATCTAGATTTTTCTGTTGCTTGTTAAACACATCCTTCTTAACTACGCTACTTGAGGGTCAGATTTGTAGTGATGTCACTTGTACCCACTTATGTCCCCATCACTTAGGTCAAGAAGGGTCAGACCCTTGAGGGTTGTCCCAGCACTAAAGGAGAGAATGTGTCGGGGTCTTCTGAGAGAAAGGAGAAACTGCTGGGATATGAGAAGGCTTGGAGATTAGGGCTTTATATAAAAAGGGTCTGATCTGTCTTAGAAGGGGTTGTGCTTCCAGTGAAATGTCATGGCTGTCGCTTGAGATTGCTCCTTTGATTCTGTGCTTCTGTGGATTTTTACATGAAAGTGGCAACAAGTGTTGTGTTTGCATAGTTGGACTGAGTGCATCAATTGTGACTTTTTCTTTATGGGTTCAATATGGGAACTGTTATTACATAATATATACTTCAGCTGCTGCAGTGTACTGCAAGTAGGGCTGCTCCTAAAGAAGATCCAGAAGCTCCAGTTAATGCAGTACCAAGATCTTATTACAGCAGTATTGAAAGACTTTGCATTTGTTATGGCAATATTCAAAGACCTGTTTGGTTGTCAGTTGTTTCCTGGACTCTATTCAAGACATTGAGTTATAACCTCTAAAGCCCTAAACAGCTTAGAGCCTGGCGATCTAAAAGGAGGCTACCTGTCTCATTAGGAATTTATCTGACTTTAAGATCTGCCAGAAAGGCCCTCTTGAAGACATTGTTGGCCATTGTTGTGTGTGCGAAAGGGAGCTTTCTACTGCCCAGGTATTCCCAGATTTGGAACAAATTCCCTTCAGAATTACAATTGGTCCCCATTCTCTTGGCTTTCAGAAAAAAATGTTAAAACATGCCCTTTAACCTAGCATTTTGCGCTAATTTTAATGGGCTGTTTTAATGTTTTTTATTGTGGGGTTTCATTTTTAGATTTGTTTGACATAGCATTGGTAGCTTGATGACAAAAACAATAATATAGAAAAAAAAACAGATGGCGTGGAAAAGGAAACCTGAAAGCTTTTGATGGTCCAGGGCCATCTGACTCTTTGCTATCCTTCCTGCATCACCAGTACCCCTTTTAATGCTGGAATTGAGAGATTCCTTAGCAGTCTCTAAATCAATCCCCCCCCCCTTTTTTGGTACTAGGAAGGCTGGATGGCAACTTTGCGTCTCACTCCATCTTATGTTCAAGTTTGGACTGCCTTCTTCCCATAATTTCATTCAAAAAAACTATTGTAGGCCAGGCTCCAAGAGAGAGTTGTGGCTGTGATTTCTGAACTGGCCGCCTATCTCAGAGCTTTTTTAATAGTGAGAAAAAATTGAAAAATTCTCCATTTCAGAGGCTGCAGAGGTTGAGATTGGCTGCATAAGCTTGGGTTGAACCATTGCCTGAACAAAGCCTCGGGAGGCAGCACTGATCAACATAATAAAGCAAAGGACAAGGGTTGGGTCTTCTCCCACTTGTGACTTGTAGGCTTTTCTTATAAAAATCTAAGACCCTCCCTGCAGCTCCCCCCCTCCCCCCACGTGTTCCTTGTAAATGTTTCCTTTGGTATCAGAGAATCCTCCAGTTCTTTTCTTTTTGGGATCAAGAAACATCCATTAGAAGGAAGGTGAACATAGTTTTAAAGAAAGCAAATGATAGTTTACAAAACTATTTTTCTTTCTCCACTAGCCTTTGCCACATGCATAAACATTCCTGTTGGTTGTCAAAACTTGTACCAGGCAAAGATTATTTTCACTTGAGTTGTGAAAAAGTTTTGCTCATGTGTTAGATAAAGGTAAAGGTTCCCCTTGACATTTTTAGTCCAGTCATGTCCGACTCTAGGGGACGGTGCTCATCCCGTTTTTCAAGCCATAGAGCCAGCGCTTGTCCGAAGACAGTTTCTGTTGTCACGTGGCTAGCATGACTAGGGAGCGCTGTTTTACCTTCCTACTGAGATGGTCCCTATTTATCTACTTGCATTTGGATGCTTTCGAACTGCTAGGTTGGCGAGGAGCTGGGACAAAGCGACGGGCGCTCACTCCATTGCGTGGATTCGATCTTAAGACTGCTGGTCTTCTGACCCTGCAGCACAGGCTTCTGCGGTTTATCTAAACAGAACATGTAATGTTTTTAAACACAAGGCTTTTAGGAAGTCTATACCTTTTATAAAATGGGAATTATTTGGGAGGTGCTTGGGGTAAGGTCTTTCATATTCCCCCTCCACTACCATTTTAACCCCACTGCTTTTCTGTTTCAGACTTTATGGATTCAAGATCCACCCAATGGCTTACCAGCTCCAACTTCAGGCAGCCAGCAATTTCAAGAGCCCAGTCAAAACGATCCGTTGATCTTCTGCCTCCAGGGTCCTTCTCCAATAACTCCTTTTACTCCAGTCAGGGCTGTTCATACTTTGATTTTGGTGATGTCCCCTGTGGACTATTCTTTGTCACCTTCCAGCCTGATTTTAGTCTTATTTCTGGTGTGTGGTTTAAATTAACAATCAACAGTTTCTGTTAATTCCCAGAAACACAATGATACACAGATTCAGTAACCAACTTGAATGTCATGATTTTGTGGGGCTTTTTTTTTCTTTTTAAAAAGTAAAACACATTAAAAATATAAGATGATTGTTGTGTGTTTTTCCCCACTGGCTCTGGAAAACTTGATAGGAAAAAGGGTGTGAAAGGAAAAAGAAGGTAATTCAAAAGAGAAAAAAGATTAATTTTGTGACTAAAGTGGAAATACATTCCAAGTTGGAGGCTTTGAATTAAACTGGTAGATTGCTAGCCTTATCCCATGGAAATGTGATATTGTTCACCATTACTGTGGTGGATGATATTATACCTCTCTGTTACAATGCTCAAACCAAACTGTGTAAGGGCAGGTTCTATTTTAAGTCAGTCCTTGAAAATAACTAAATACATTGGTCCATTCTGATATTCCAGCTTATGGTACATTTTCCAACATTTGCTCATTTGGAAAAATACTGCATTTTGCTAGAAGGGGAATATTAGCTAATTCTAGAAACCTGGGTGCTCTGAGAAAAGGATATGAATTGGAATGTGAGTGATGGGAATCAAAAATATCTTGGGAACGGATAATTATTTTTATTTGTAGACCAATGTATTTGTGGGCTTTTGATTTACTGAGAAGCTGAATTCACAACACAGAATCCACAACCGTAATCTTGGAACAGTAAGCTCTTCTCCTTAGCTTTGATATGTCAAAAATATATCAGATTTTAAGATATAAACAAGAAACACAAGGCAACAGCAAAAAATTGGTGCCTTAGGTTCTAACTGCTGTATTTTAATGTAAGCTTTCTAGTCCTTCATTGCCTGACATTTCTCTCATTCTTGATGCTACTCCTCTACCTTTGTAGCCTTTATCGTAAAAACAAAGCAAAACATGCTTATATATCTAAATAGGTATGATAGCATTTTCTCCCTCCCATGCAGGTGCTGGTATTAAGGACTCTTAGTGTCACAGAGAGAGAGAGAGAGAGAGAAGGGATTCTACCACTCCTTTCCATATAAAACACTGATGTGATGTGCATTGCCACTGCAGCCCGTAATGGGTGCCCTCATTCCCTGGGAGGAAAGTCTGTAAGAAAGGAGTCACAACCTAGACGGGTGGATGAGTCTGTCAGGACTGAGAAGGAGGTGCAACCTACCAACTCTCATTTTCTGGTAGAACAGGTGCACTTGAGGCTGAAGATGGCACACATTTCTTTTGTAATATTCTCTGCTAAGTCAGTGCTGACCTGGCTAAAAATAGACGCAGCCAGGGAGGTGTCTTCTCAGCAAGTAAGTAGGTGCAACAGACATCCACCCAATCTCTTATTTCTTATTAGGAGGTTCACATGCAGTGTAACAAAGGAAGTGATTCTCAAAGTGTGTCTTCATCTTTCTGATAGCCTTCCCTGACCCTTTCTTCAGCTCATTAAGAATTGTGAACTCACCTTTCCTGTCAATAGCCTGAGATCATAGCCTGGAGGATTTGATCTTTGAGCAGCTTAGGCAGCCGGGATCTGCTTCTTCTCCCCACCTCTTTTGCTTCAAGAAGCTGGACTCCCTTGACCTAAACTCTTAAAATCTCTCTCAGCATATTCACAGACTCTGACATCATCTGTAGCAAAATCTATAACAAAACAGGTAGTGGATCCCGCCTACTTGCACTCTGCTATTTTTCAACATCTGGAAGCCTTGTCACGGGATTTAATAAAGAAATGTGTCGTTAGGACATCCTAGCTATTCTAGTGTTTCTAGCCCTGAAGGTTTCCAGTATTTATTTTATTTATTTATTCGATTTGTAACCCGCCCATCTGGTCTTCCGACCACTCTGGGCGGCAGTATTGAATGAAGCAAAAGATCAGCTTGAACCGAAGGTTCCTTGTTGAATCTTATGATTAGAGATCACAAGGCTAGCATAGCCTGTGTTTTAAATGGCCTTAGAAGAGGACATGCATCGCCTGCTATTTCTCCAACTAAAAGTTCAGTCTTCGCATCTATCATGTGAAGCTGCTGATTCAGCCCTTGTTACTGAACTGATGATGCCAAGGAAAAGGAGAAGGAGGGAAATTTTCGTGGGAACTGATGGCACATCCCACTGAAATTTTGTTTTAAAGTAATTTCCTAAAACTGAAAAGTACCTTCACATTCAGGTTTATGTTGCTGGTAATGAATTGCCTTGAGGAGTGTAGGAAGATGATTTGGACTTGATAGCTTCTTCCGACTGTACTATTCTATGAATACACAACAAAGCTGCGAAAGGTACACAGTTGTCAAATGCTGGACACATTGTACCCAAGCCATCTGACCCAGGCCATAGTTGCTGGGAACTCTATACACGCTATATTCGCGAAGGCTTTCACAGCCGGGATCTAATGGTTGTTCTGTGTTTTTCAGGCTCTTTGGCCGTGTTCTGAAGGTTGTTCTTCCT